CCTTGAACTTTCTTCGACTGAACTAAACCCATAGGGGTTTACGAAAAAATTACCTTAGACTTTATAATTGGCTAATGGTATGACTTATGGATTTTTCTAAAAATGTTCGTATCTAAAACCTACCAAACACTAGTCAATCTAACCTAAATTTATGTTATGTTTGACCAATTGAGTTGTCATGACTCATTCGTACTACATTAAGTGAGAATTGTATGTCATTTTTTGGAATTGATCTGTGATGATTGTATGCTTCTGCACTATATGCTTCTATACTACCAATAAACTATTCTGAATAAGTTGCACCAAACAGTTTTACCAGACAGGGGCAGGAATGTCATTTATACTACCATAACCACCAATAAGCTATTTTGGATAAGTTGCCCCAAATAACAAGTCAGATTATTCTGATAATCTGCAGATTATCAGATTATCAGAATAATATGCTTATCAGCAGACTATAAATAATCTACAACTGCCCCAAACAGACCCTAAATCGACTAAATAAACTCATTTCAAAACATCTATTAGCTTCATATGATCTTTAATTAACTCCATCGGCAAACCAAGTCCATTTTAATCCAATTTAAACCTCGATAAAGCTCCTAAATAAGCTAAGTATAATAATAAATAAATTTATTGAGATTAACTCTTTTAATCATAATAGATGGTACCTCTCTTTTCTTGATTCGCTCAACTGCATTCCAATCATCCATTTGGTCTCTACACCATGTGAGAAACCCATAATTTTGTTAAGCTAAGGCAATGAGGGAATTCAAAGGTTGGCAACCGAATTAGCGTTCTTGAGTTTAGAGAAAACGAAAATCAGTATTGCTCATTATATTTAAAATTGATTCTTAGAGATTTTCTTATAACTTCTGTTGAAACCTTTAGAGCATACAAAATTTATGAAAAATTGCTATATTTTCATGTTAATTTTTATTTTAAACGAAAGAGAAAAACAGTTATTTCCAAATTTTAAAATACTAAATACTTCTCCAAATTTTTAAAAACTGGTATGGATGCTCTTCATATCAAATTAAGCATGACATGAATTTCGTATGAATTAGTAATCGTTATATATATGTGCGTGATTTCTTAATCGATAATTCCGTTTTTTAAATATATTATTTTATACTTTGATTAAAAATTACCAAATAAGTAGAAACTGTAATTGATGTGGCATAACCTCGGCATTAATTTATAGCCCTTAGGGATTATTTAATATTTTAATGATCAAGAATACTTTTTCTCATTAAGCTTAATTGGTACGGTGACATTTTGAAAACGCAACTGACATGTTTGGGTAAACTGCATTTTGGAAGCTTATGTGTTTTCATAAAGTTGAAAACAACATTTTCACACCGTACCTATCTAGTTGTAGTGGTAACTTTCTGGCAGCGGTCTAACTTTTTCAAAAAAATAAAAAGTTGTAATAGTCACCGCACCCAGCTTATCAGCAGATTATTTTTAGTCAGCTTATTAGCAGATTATTCAATAAACTGCAGCTGCCCCAAACAGACTTTAAGTATATTATAATTTTCTAATATATTGGATAAATTTTAAGAATGTTTTTTGTTTAAAATACATTCTTACTATTTCAGCTTTTTTGGTTCCCATTTGATATGCTTGGATATATTTCATATTAAAAATCCATTAAATAAATTCTTAAATTATCATTAATAAGTAAACATGTCTCCCAGCATGAGCCATTATTCTACTCATTTAAAAATTACTTACAATCAATTTTCAAATTTAATATTTCACACATACATGTTTTAAAAATTAAATGTTTAAAATAAATTAAAGATGTTAAAAGTTACTCGCACCAAAAAATTTAAATTAAAATTTTGGAGCAAATCTTATAATTATTTTATATATTTAAATTGTATTAAACTTATTATTATTTAAAAATGAATGAGTACTTAAAAGGTAAAATTTTAAAAATAGCATTTCTAAATGTGGATTTGAATAAGGCAATGTGTAAGGAATGTGGATAAATAGCAGTGTGAAGACTTAAAAATTTTATGGTTATCGAACTAAAATAAAAAAAGCATCAGCTAATTGCAGTGTGATAATCATAAATTTTCAACGATGTTGAGGCTCAAGATTTTAAGCCTTCATTAAATAAGGCAAAGAAATAATTTTCTTTTAAGTCTTCATTCATTATAGTGTGATAATGATAAAAATATTTTTAAGAGGTAAATTTTATGCCTTCATTCATTGCAGCGTGAGAGTCATAAAAATTTTAAGTCTTCATTCAATCAAAAATCACATGCCGATGTCGAGGTTTTATCTATTTAAAATATTTTATTTTCTTAGCTCTTATTTAAAGTGATAAATTTATAAAAAATGTCATTTTTTAAATTTTACGAACACACAAATGTTTTGAAGTAATTGTTATTTAATTTAAAAATAGAGTTTAAAAAGTTTGAAGGACAAACCCAAAAGAAGAAAATTTACGCCAAATATTTTTTCAATAATAATTTAATGAGAAATATTATTTTTAAAAAATTAATATATCTGTGTGTGTGTGTGTCGCGTACCCGGCCTGTTGGTTGACATCCTTGGTTTAAGACCGCTCAGGTCGGCTATTCGAATCCCCCTCTGGCAATGTGAGTTTTAAGGAGGATGGTACTCAAATTGTTAGGTACATTAGGAATGCTTTGATGCTCGTATAATAGCTTTTGGTCATTCTTTATTGGCAACATTCATGTGGATTTTCTTATTGTTGTTATTTTTTTATTAATATGATTAAGTAAATGGTCATTTTGATAACTTTTAAGACCAATTTAGTCTTCCTACTTACAAAATTTGAACTAGTGTTGTCTTATCCATAATAGTTATGTAGTTTAGATTTTAGTGTTCATAATAAAAAAATTAGTAATTATTATTTGAATTGTTAAATTATTTATTAAATTTTTTATATGAAAATTTAGATTCTCGTTTACATTTTTAGCTTGTTTAGTAGGTCACTTAAATATTCGTTTACTTGTCATAAACAAATCAACTTCAAACATTGGAAATATTGAACAAATTAAGCTTGAACACGGTATGAAAGCTCGACACAAGCTAAAGTGGAACATGAACTTATAGTTATACAAAGGCAAGTCCAAATAATGATATACTCGGCTCGCCTCGATTACATCCCGAATTGCAACTAAAAAATTATACTAATAATATTATTAAAATGCTGATAAATTAAGATTTGGCTTGATTACTTGGTAGTAAAAAGAAAGATAGTGACAAGAACAAAATCATAAGCCAAATTAATTCAATATGGGGAATGTAAAAGTCCAAGTCTAAAGCAAATTGTGGACCAGAGTCATTGAGAGAAATTGACTAGCAAGGGAGGGAGAGGGTGGGAGGGTGCTCGACGAGAATAATAGATAGGTGATCGGAGAAAATTTTACACGAGCTTGAGATGGGAGAGATTGTCTTGGGAGAGCGATAGAGTCTAATAGACAAAAGAAGAAAGGGCTTAGGAGGGAAGCGATGGAAGTCAAGGGGCAGCGGAGATTGGGTAAGGTGTGAGGTGAGGAACATAAAACTAAAAAGAGAGCATGAGAAGTTGTGTTAGAGGCTTACAAGGGATGGGAGGTGGGGATATGTATAACGAAGGAGGCAAGTAACCTATGAGAGGACGGGAGGGGCTTAATTCAATTTTTAAGATATATATGATATAATAGAATTGCATAAAGTGATTAGCTACAATGCATAAATAATTTCTTACAAAAATGCTTTTTATTTAAGATTGAAAATGACAAAACAATTTTTAAGATAAGTAGTAATTGGAAAGAAAGTTATTGAAACTAAAAACAGTTAATTATGTTATAGCCATTACATAGATTGGTATATGAATGAATATGCCCTAAACTACTTAATAGTATCGTTGAAGTTCTATTTTTAAAAATAATAATTCATGCTCAATTAATCAGGTCATGCATTTGACTCATTCTTCACATTAAAAAATATACCATACCTTACCAATAAATAAAAGCTTTCAATAACAACAACGACAAGCCTTTATCCTAGGGTCAATTATAGGAATCCTTTTTCTCCAGTGTGTCCTTTTGTGATATTTTTATTTAGCTCTAATAAATTAATATTTTTTTTACATAATATGCCGAGTCTTTTTAGGTCTACTTCTACCATTCTTAACATAAATCAAATATAAAACATTTACTCTCCTAACCAGATCATCAGATGGTCGACGTTCAATGTAACCAAACCATCTAAGAGGACTCTACCAAATCTTGTCTGCCATGTAGCTACATCAACCCTTTCACAAATACATTGGTTTCACATTTTATCTCTATATACCAAGCGATTCATCAACAACACTTAACTTTGTTTTATGCTTCTCTTTTAATGGCTAACATTCTATGCCATAAAACATTTGCATGTCACACCACCACGTATAAAATTCTCCTTCAAGTTTAAGCGATACTTTTCTATCGCAAGATGGCACAATGCATTCCTCCACTTCAACCAACCACCTCGATTTCTAATAATAACATCCCCATCTACATAATAATTAATTTGAACAAAAGACACGATATATCTAAAATGTTCACGGCTTTTAATAATTTAATCACCCATAGTAACAAATATGCCACTATATCTACAACTACTAAAATTATATTCTATTTATTTAGTTTTACATCTGCTCAAGTGAAGGCCTTTAGACTCTAATGTAGACCTTCATAATTCATGTTTTTTTCCGAACTCTATCTCTAGTCTTATCCACAAGAAAGATATCCTCAGTGAAAAGCATACACGATGTTACATCCTCCAGTAAATGTCAAGTATTAACATCCATAATAAAAGCAAAAAGATATGGATTTAAAGTGGATCTCTGATGTAATCCAACTAAACTAGAAATATACTGGGTCAATCTTTATTTTGTTCAAACAAAATTGAAAACTTTCAACAACAACAGAAAAAGAGCATTAAACAAGTATATCAATAATACACATAATAACACTAATGTTATCTAAGTTAAGATGAAACTAAACACTTGCATAATAAGAGCAAAAATCAACCATAGCCAAGTCAAAAGTTTTGGACCATACAATAGTTCCATCAACCTCAAGACAATCTTATTTTCATGGCACCATCTAGTAAACACCAAAAGCATAAAAAAGGTGACAAGGCCATAAAAGAGAGACAGTATCAAATCTCACCAACCAAGCGCAGAGCATAATTTCTTAAGCTTCAGCTAAGGTGTTTCCCACATCAATCACAAATCTGTATTTAACATCACCATTGGCAAGCCTCTTCATGGCCTGGTTCACATAGTTGATGCCAATCAGCTCAATATCTGCAGCTATGTTGTGTTCCCCGGCAAAATCTAACATCTCCTGTGTATCCTTCATTCCACCAATACAGCTGCCAGCCAAAATCTTCCCTTCTGCATTCGTTCACTGTTTATTGCAACAATGATATTATATCAAAAAATGCTATAAAAATATATAAGAATATACATACCCAAAAGCAGAGGAAGAGCTGGCAAGTCGAGTGGATGTTCCGGCGCACCCACCATGATCATTTTCCCCTCAGATTTCAGCAAAAGTATTAGGGGCAAGAGGGCATGTTTGGCTGATACTGTGTTGATGATTCCATCCATGGTACCCTTTGCAGCCTGTATGAGCAAATATAATAGATGAAATGGGAGGTACTAAAGCTTAACTATAGGTATTTATCCTTCCAAACTGCTTCGTTTTTGGCATTAAGTCTCCTGGTACCACTAAAATGTGCCTTTTCAACGTTATTATCAATATCCCTTAACCCAACAATTTGTTTGGATTGGAATTAATGAATCTTCTTTTCCAATTCATTTCAGTTTCGTAATTCTTTTATTAGTTAATTTTCTCTATAAATCTTATTGGTTAATATTTCTACCTCACGTATACCCAAACTGGTTAAAGCCTATATTGTTATGGAAAGTATTTAATCTAATGCTTGTATGTTAGGAAGTGTGTATATTATGAAAATTACTATCAGGTAACTCAATTAGTGATGTAATTACATGATTCTTTCTATATTATTAAGATTGATAATAGGTAACTTAACTCGAGGAAATCTAATAACAAGGGATTTTTTTTCTATATTAGAAATACTTCCAATTTGTATGCTCTAATTCTCTTATATTTATAGAAGAAATTTGGGTAGATTTTTATGTGTGAGAGTTATAACCCTATTTTGGTCATTTTTTTCCTGTCCCTATTATTGATAGTGAAATAACTTCCATGTGGACGTAGGTGGATTTCCACTGAACCACTTAAATCTCACTGTATTTGATTGTTTGTTGCTTGTGATTTTATTTTATGGATTATTTTGCACAACAATTTGATATCATAGCCCGATTGGTGTGAATCTGGTAACATGCGGCTGCGATTCAGACTAGTCACGGAAATTGAGCATGTTAAGTTAAGAGATTCGGTGGAGCATGGATAATATCATGTTGTCCAGTACTTCAAAATCCAATACGACGGTGGAAAAGACGTCAATTCATCAATTGGTTACATATCCAATCATAATCGATATGCCAAGTTTTCACGACAAATGAAATTTTAGCATGCAGCAATGCGAGGTAATGGATGCATTGTGCTCTTTTAATCTGAAAGACGTTTTTGATAGCAATGAATAACCTGAAAAGATGTCAAAAAAAGTTTATCTTAAGATAAACTAGAGTGCTTGTAGCTTGATCCAATGTTGTTTATCGCAGGAGATCAAATATAGGGTGATGATGATGAAGACTTCTACTGGAAAATTATAAATAATGTTGGAGAACAAATATCTCACAAAAACCGTGAGGAATCATCTTCATATGAAGCATCGAAAATATAGATTTTAGATGAGACATGTTGTCATTTTTGCTCAGAACGTAAATGATTTTACAAAAATTTTGGTAGATCCGTTAATTCTAGATGAGGTTGGAGATGAAGACAAAACACTTCTACTGAATTGGCTCTTAGATGACAATGAAAATTTTACGATGACACTCATTCATGAGAATGAGGACTTGAATTATATTGAGGTGACTACTAAATTGTTAAATTATGAGTTCCGCTAAAGAAATATTGAATCCCCAAAAATAGAGTTGATTGACACTTACACTCCAACATGAGAGATCTAGAAAGAAGAAGTTTAGCAAAGATGAGTGGTGGCGAAAATACTTTACAAAAGCGAGACAAGTGTCATGGACACAGTCTTGAGAAAATCAGTTTGCTTCCTGTTTAGAGACTGGTCATTGAAAGAAAGATTGTCTGAAGTTGAAGAAGAGAAAGAGAGTTTCCTCTTGGGCAAAAACTAATTTTATTATGGAGATATATTTGACGAGGTAGATTCAAATGTATCATTATTTGTATTTTCTCATAGTTTCTATATAGATGATTCATGTTGAAGTATGTACACAGGTGCTACATATCATATTTTTCCTCATCGAGAGTGATTTTATACATACAAGAAGCTTGATAATAGTATAGTGAATATGGGCAATGATCAATCTCGTCTTACTATTAGTGTATGGAGCATCTTTATCAAGGTGCATGATTGATAAAAAGAGAGAGCTGACTAATGCTAAACATGTTTTGGATATTAAAAAGAATATGTTATCAGTTAAGGCCTTAGAAACCAAGAGCTACAACGTAGTTACTGAGTTTATGAAGGGAGTTTGACATTACAACATTTACTATCTTCAAAGCAGTATAGTAACTGGAACTGCTGCAATTGCCGAAGATTCATTGGACATCACTATATTTTGCATATGCCGCTAGTTCATGCTAGAGAGAGTTCACTTAATGGTATGATGAAACAACGATTAATCAAAAGAGTGAGCACTTACAAGCTCAATTTTCGTGAACATTATGTGTTTGACAAGAAGACAGTCATAACTTTGATAGTGTCATTAACTGTACAGATGATAGTTTAGTGTTCTTCTCACGATGTTTGAGATCCAACAAAGACAACATCATTCGATGGGTAGAGATACTTTGTCTATTTTATTGATGGTTACTCCATATATATTTGGGTGCATATCATAAAGCGCAAAAGCAAGGTGCTGAAGATTTTCATGACTATGAAGAAATAGATTGAAACTCAGACTAGTAAAAAGATCTGATACATTAGATCTTATAATGAGTGCAATTACACAGCGGATCCGTTATTGCAAGAGTGTCAGAGAACTCGGATAAAGCACCACTTCATTGTTTGAGAGACTGCAATAGAATGGGTTGACTAGCAGTATAAATTGAGCTTTTGTTAAAAATATTCGATATATATTGTCTAATGGTGGGTTGGATAGAGTCGATTGGGTTTAGATCATAGTACAGTTTGTCGCATGGTGAGCTATCTAACTTCTGTAACTACTAGAAAAAATATCTCAAAGGAGATATTGTCGAGACATCTTAGTAGAGATTATGTGCACATGAAAGTGCAGGTGTTCAACTTACTACCACACGTAGAATAATAAACTAGAATCATAAGCAAATAAGACAATCATCACTAGCTTCAAGCTTCGAGTCAAGGGCTTCAAACATTATGATCAAGCAAAGAAAGAGATTTTCGTTAACAGGATAACACATTTCATGAGGCAAACATGTTGAAGCCTCAGAACTAGAAGCAAGTGAAGAGTTCTATTGGCACAATAGATATGTGGTAGAAGTTGGAGTTTGATGCAACTTCATTTATTCCAAAGAGTTCGTCCACTCCTACTCAAGTAACTATTTCAGTTCCAAATTAGAATGTAATATTGACAATATTCATGAGAAGGATAAAAAAGATGTTTATAATGAGGTCCCTGCTCAGCAATTTATTGTCAGGAGTAAGACCAAGCAGCAGAATATCATATCACTAATTTTCTTGATGGATCACATTGTATTTGTAATTTCAACCACGGAGGCTGAAATTCATTATCACTGAAAGGAAGTGATGGAGAACCCAGACGGTGATCGTTGGAGAGGGGCAATAGATGAACAGATAGAGTCTCTTTGGAAGAATGCTACCTAAAGGTTCTTGAAACATCCTTCTAGAAAAATTTCCATTAAGTGAAAATGAGTGTATGCAAAGAAAAAAAAGATCTCATGGAACTAAGGTGCGATACAATGCTAGGCTAATAGAAAAATTTTTTGTTCAATGAGAAAAGATTGACTATGAGAAGGTGTTCTACCCAGTGGTCTAGCATCCCTCGATCGGTATTTTTTTGGCACTGGTAGGACAGTGCAATCTGATTTTGGAGCAGATTTATGGGAAGAATGCATTCCATCATGAAAGATTACTAGAGATCTATAATTCGTAGTTGTCTGGACATGAAACCTCAAAAAACTTGGTCCGCAAACTAGACAAGTATTCATATGGGTTGAAACAGTCACCACGATTGTGTTGCATGGACAATAGTAGATGAGAAGCCAAAAGAATCATTGTGCATATTTTAAGAAATTGGTCAATGATGAGGTCATCTAGTGTTTTTTATTATTAATTATATATTAATTGCTTCTACTTTGTTAGAGTGAGGTTTGATTAAATGAAGAAGCAAGTGTCAAAATATTTTATGATTCAAGAGTTAGGTGAAACTCACAGATCCTTGGCATGAAGATTCTCAGTAACAAGATAGATGAAAATATTTGAATCATAAAGAACATATGTTGGAAGGTGCTAATAAAGTTTTGAGGTAGATAGCTCAAGCAAGGTGATAAATGTATCAATTATATCTCACTTTCAATTAAGTTCATATTAAAATCCTGAAAATAATCAGAAGACAAAATATGCGTGATCGGATTCTTTTGCTAGTGCAGTGGACAACCTTATGCATATCATAATTTATACTAGACCGGATATTGCACAAGCGGTTGATGTTGTGAGCAAGTTTATGCATGATCCGGGAACGAGTCATTGACAGATTGCGAAGAATATTTTAAGATATCTAAATGGCATGGTTGATGTCGGCTTAGTGTTTGAAAGACAATCATCTATTGTTGATTTATGTGTAACCTACACAAATTCAAACTATGCATGTGATATGAATAGATGTAGGCCTACGACAAACTACTCATTCACATTTGCAAGAGTTCAAGTCAGATGGAGAATGGTTCTTCAATTTAATGTTGCTTTGCCTACTTTGGAGGTTGAGTACATGACAACCATGAAGGCGATGAAGAATGCGATATGAGTGCACGACAAACTGAATGGCTTGAGAGTTGATCAGGAGTCTCTAATGATGTTCTGTGATGGTTTGAGTGTGATAGTCTTTATCATCAAATTTTATTCATCATGTATGTACCAAGCAAATTGATGTAATGAATCATTTTATTCAAGACTTGACTGATGAGTATAATGTTCTATTAAAGAAGATAAATATGAAATAGAATCCGACGGAAATGCTCACAAAAGTACTACAAGTCTTGAAGTTCACTTTTTGTAGGAGTTCGATTAATATTTAAGCTCATGATTAATTACCCATTCGAGCGTTTTGAAGAACCATGCGAGGTTTGACCCCATCAAGAGATGGGATATGTAGGCAACTATTTTGGTGCTGTCATTTTGGCATTAGAGCTTATTTTGATCATCTCCTGCTTATAAGAGTGTGTATATTAGAAAGAATGATATTGCATAAACTAATTAGAAAAGATCTAATTACATGATCTTTTCTAAATTATGACGATTGATATAGTTAATCTAGTTAGCGGATATTTAATTATAAAATATTTTTAATAACACTTCCGTATAGACACATAGGTGGATTTGCGCCAAGCCGCATAAATTGTACCGTGTTTGATTGTTTGTTTGTTGTGTAATCTTATTTTTTTGCATTGTTTGACACAAAATAAATTTCATCTTTTCATCAATAGCTATTCTGCATTGTTTTAATCTATCTTAACGTTATTATTGCCACACTCAATTTGACATCTAGACTACTTAAACATATTTGAAATCTACCCTCTAAACTAGAATTAACTCTAGTATGCCCTATAAGGATCAAATTCCTCACTTCTGATACTGCAAACATTTAATCAGCTATGAATCATGGACACAGATATGACATAACGGAGACACGACATAATTGATAAAAAATAGGACAAGACATTTCGTACACGCGCTTTTAAATTTATTTAATTATTAATATAAAAAATATTTTTTTTTTTATTCTTTACTAAAAATATCACGACACAAATTATACAATAATAAACTTTCATAAATTTAGTTTATATTATAAAATCTCATGCATATGAAAATTAATTTTTAAAATTTTCCATTATAGAATCCAACTTATCTACAAAAATTTTAAAAAGTCTATGATTACAAAGAGAAAATTACTAATGTTTAGCTTCGATGAATATTAGATGCACATTCGATGCTCGATTTTGACGGATGTGAGAGAGAGTTTCAACATGACGAGAAATGGGCTGGTTTTGACTATGAGGTAAAAATAAGGCTATACACATATTTATAATTTTCTAATTCCCATATCCCATTTTCTCAAAATTGCATTAAGCTCATATCTGATGTAGTGTTGAGGTGTATTCCAAACATGTTTGGGACTAAAAGAAATTCAGACAAATATCTTGTAGTGTTGGAGAAGTATCAAGTCATGTCGAGCAAGTGTCAGTATATGATATGTGTCCGACACAGGCACGACACATTTTTTATATGTGTTGGTGCTACATAGGTAATCAGATTACATTGTATGCATTAATTTCAATTTTATCCTTCAAGATCACAAAATCTGTTAAGACCACTAATCTTCACTTATATTTGATATTTAATCGTTACTGCAAACATGCGCCAGAGATCTTAATACCTTTATTTGTTCAGCATCAGTGCTGACAAGGAAAGTATCAGCACCCAATTGCTTGATGGCTTCCTCTTTCTTCCAAGGCGATGAGCTGATAACAGTGACCTTTGCCCCGAAAGCCTTTCCAAACTTAACCGCAACATGGCCAAGTCCTCCAAGACCAACAACACCGATGTTCTTCCCAGGCTGGTTGAGCTCAAAGTTCTTCATGGGACTGTATACCGTTATCCCTGCACAGAGTAACGGAGCACCTCTATCCATGGGGAAGTTCTCTGGGAATTTAACCACAAAATGCTCGTCCACTACAATAATGTTTGAGTAACCTCCATAAGTAATCTTCCCATCAATATCAACTGAGTTGTAAGAGAACACCAGCTTGGGGCAGTAGTTCTCCTTATGCTGGATACATCTATCACATGAACGACAGGCACCAACTAAGCATCCAACGCCCACTTTGTCCCCAATTTTGAGCTTTTGAACATTGCACCCAGCTTCAGTGATAATACCAGCGATTTCATGCCTGCATGGGGAAATATAACTGGTGTGATGAAGTATATTATACTCTACATTGTGCCTTTATACTTTTAAAAACCTGCATCTACACATTGTCAGATAGCAAGAATCTAAGTTTAAAGCTTTCCATTTTTTTAATGGTTTGAACTACTTAAAGTCTCCACAATGCAGTAATGAGGATAAAAACAACAAGCATAAAGTTTTCTCTTTTCAAATATGTTAAGATATTTGAATTTTTATTGGAAGAAAATGATACGATAAGTCATAGTGAATTCAGGAATTGCCTCAATGGCAAAATTATGTGGCCTCTTCGCCACTAAGAAAGATGTTTGATGATGATGAGTTCATCCTTGGTGGTTCAAAATCTGTGAATCTGTATAATTAGTAATGATAGTTAAATGGAGTTTCAAATTGTAGAAAGCCTAGTGTGGAAGAACATGGATCAAGATGGGGATAAGTTGAATAATCATTCAGTTTGATAAAAAAGGTTGTAAAAGGGTACCCTGGAACAAGTGGGTAAACAGTATCCTTCCAGTCATTTTTGATGCTGTGGAGATCGGTGTGACAAATGCCGCAGTACAATATCTTTATGGTAACATCACAGTCACCATTTTCCCTAATACATGAGATCAAAAACTTTTTGTTAGGTGTCAACATACTTCTCTAATTGCTGGAAAGAAAAAAAAAATACATTTGAAGTAGCATAAATGAGATGAAAACTATAAAACTGAAGAGAACAGAATACATGACCAAATCTTCATTGTGGTAAGAAAGTAGAATCTCGCACAAAAACGCAAACAATACGAAAAAGTTAACAATAGCTTCAGTAAACACCATAAATTCAGATAAGTAAATTTCGAGTATTAAAACACAAAAACCCTTTGGCATTTAAAAAATAAAAGTGCTGAAACATTATTTATCAAAATGAATAAACATATAAAATAAAAAACTGTTGGGGGTATTTTGGATTAAAATAGGATACCGAACCGCTCGGTAGGCTTTCCAAAGTTAGGGATACGTTTTGATGTCAGCAATCAGAGGGAGCATGATAAATTTGCTGTTAAAAAATTATGTAGAAAATTTGAGATTGAATCTCAGACATCAAAAAATTTCTTCGGTAGGCAAAATTTTCAAAATAACATATTATAACCCAATAGATTTCGAAGAAAAATGGAAAATTGCTGCTAGTTTTGCGTGAGAAAGAGAGAGAGAGAGAAGATAGAGGAGACCTTCTGGAGAAAGTGAATGGAGAGAGAAAGCCAGTTGTATCTTTGGCGGCGAAGCCGAATGCCTTACGGTGACGCCTCTCCGTCGACGCCTTCATAACGTTCTCTGTGGCCTCCATCTCTACTTCTCCGTTCCCGCTATCCAACCAACAGTTTGAGCGAGAGGCAGATATAGCTTAATTCATAACTGGTAAATCTTCTTTCACCGAGGAGCAAATGTCAGAGGTGGGACAAGGCCTGCATTTACTACACTGATAGCATTTACTACACTGATAGTTGGTCGAAGAAAATTAATACTTTGGACGTCGCCAGGTTGACGAATGCGATGCATTGATTTCTTACGCCTAATAAAATTAAATTCACCAACTTTTTTATAAAAAAATATACACTCATTTTTTGGAACGCGCACTTTTTTGAATGAAGTTGGAAAAATCTTTACCTATGTAATATGCTGAGAATTTTTAGGATAAATAAAAGCAATAATCGATATAAATTCAAAAAAGGAAAATACATAGATTTAATGAGGTTCGGCAAAGATGCTTATGTCCTCAAGAGTAGAGCAATAATTTTTCTTTCAATTCAAAAAAAAGACTACAAGACACCGTTAGGGTTACATCATATATATATACCCCTAGCGTACAATATATAATTACAAAATTTCCTTCATACCGTACGGCAAGGGCGTTGCTCACGCACCCTCAACGCACATAACGAAACTCCCCCGATTGGACGGATGCTTCCGCTTTACTCCGCTCGCTTATTCCGCTTCACTGGCTCACTCTGTTTCGCTCCAACATCCATATCTTATCCGGTATATAAGTCATATCTAATAAATATCCACATTGGCTAATATCCAGCCCTTTAGGAGAAAGATATCTGAGAGTTTTTCAAATGACAAAGTGGGTTGGGCCACCATCCTTATCTAGCAACTGTAAATATTCATCAAGTTCAAGCAATACAAGAACTTGTTGATAATAATTGGCTTGGTCAACATATCAGTTGATCCATCTCAAAATAACCTATTTTTAGTGCATTTTTTATAAGTATTTTATGTACATTTTGATTGATATTACACTTTAAATGAAAATATTTTACATGTTTTTGGTTTCAAACATATGAAATTGATATTGAGAGAAAATGAGAAAAAACAGGAGCAAAATGATGATTTTTGTGAGGCACCATAATGCCACCCCTCGGCGCCATAGCGCCTATAGCGCCTCAGACTTGTGCTATAGCGCCAGTAACTACCTTTCTAGAAGATACATCGAATTTGACCAAATTTTGGAGGGGTGTTAAAACAACCTTGGTTAGTTTATATTTTTTATTTATTTAGAAAGATTTGTTATTTATTTAGAAAGATTTGACCAAATTTAGAGACCTTTCGGAGCCTCAAAACTTCAATTGGGCTCCAATAGTGAGTTAGGTTTTTCAAATTTTGTGTTAAAGTGTAAGTGTGAGTGTGTTTTAGTGTGATGAAGTTTGGAGATTGCTTAGAGGAAACTACAGAAGTTTGCTTGGGGAGAAGACATGAGGTACCTTGTATTTTTGTTTAAGTTTTTGTTGTAAGACTTGGACTTCAATGAAAATATTTTGTTTTTGTTTAATCTCCATAAATTCTGAGTAGTTCCATTTATTTCTTCTTGCATATGAGACTTTATTCTTGTGGAATGAGAATGATTTAAAGATTTCTTTTTACTCTTAAAAATTATGATGGTAATTTCACCAAAATCTTCATTCACTTTGCAAACTGACCATTTGTGAGGTTAAAATTCATTGAGAAACATTATGACCTGGGAGGGTTATAATTTCACCTAACTAGTTGATAACACACTTCATTTTAGACAGAGCTATTGTGATCACCTAAGGGGGAGTGTAACTAAATAGGAAAATAAGTTTTGATGGGACTAGAATTGGTTAGATCTAGAGTGACCAGTTAGATTCTTATCAGTTGGCTTGAAAAATACGCAGCCGCCAGCATGAGGCTCAAAAGTGCAGATCACCCAAAGGTCCGAGCCATACATACCAAAATTTGCAGAGCTACCACCGTCATGGATTCCTCTAGAGGATGAGAGAGGAGCGACCCCAACGTTTGTAAAGGATTCCAACAACAAATTTAGAAAGAATGAGTAGGGTTCGGAAGCAAGAGTTTGAGTATTATGAAGAAATCCAAGGAAAACTCATCAATATTATGGAAGGATTGGTACTACACACTGGAGTATTCGCAGAAAGTGATGAAAGAAAGATTCTAGATTATGTTTTTGATTTAAGGGACAAAGGTCGAGCTGGCTTATTGATGAAGAAGACATATTTAGAACTATTTCGCGGAAAGGGCAAGATCACCATCTAATGTAGATGCTATTACAACTTTGTCAAGGATAGGCAAGGGAACCCCCTTCGGGCATTCTAAGATATGACGAGGTGGATCCTCTGCCATCCGCGATAAAGCGTATGATTAAGAGGATAGTAAGAATGATTATACCGCCAACAGATTGCATCCTGATGCGAGTGGATTTAGTGTGTTAATTTTACAAATATTTTTCAATATTACAAAATACACACGACAGATACAATAACAAACATGCAAATCACATACAAATCAATCCCAATAAAAATAACTTCAGTGAAAATAGTTTTCTCTTTTACAAATTTTTAAACTGCCAAATCCCCTTTAAAAATAGCGCAAGTATACGTATCGCTCGAGTAATAAAGGGCACCAATGGAGTTCTAGATATCAATCCCACAGGGAAGTTGGAAATGCCTATAAGTAAATTCTTAAGATTATAACGTAAAATATAATTTTTAAAACTACAAAAAGTAATGTGCGAAATTCGAATATTAAGTAACAAAGTGAATGCTAATTAAAATGCAGTTGAAAGAAAAAGTTAACTAAGCTAAATGCTAAACTTTCAAAAGTAAATTTTACAAAAATTAAACAAAATATTTGTGCTAGATAGAAACAATCATATTTTTCACCCTCTTCCGAGTGCATAAAGAATATTAAATAATCGAGAGTTTGGTCCTTGGTTCCGCGGTTAGATTGGAAGGATACCGGCTTCCACTCCAAAGCTCCCACTACTTCTTCACCTAAGAGCTAACAATCAACTTGACCAAATTGGGGATTTTAATCTGTCACCGTAAAATCTCCAATTCTGCTTCGAACAAAGTATATTTTTCTATTTAATTGCACTCAACCCCATGGATGAAATACTCTCCCATAAAATCAAATGTGATTCTCCCCATGTTTTAGAAATCATGGCACTTTCAAAACATATGTTTCTCAACACATTTTAGCATTTCAATTGTCCAGATCAAAAAGTAAATGAAGATCGAAGTTCAAATCATCACAAATTGTTGATATTTAAAACCATATAAAACAAAATCAATTCTTCCCAAAATAATATCTCAAAGTATGGAGAAGGACAAAGAAGTCTACTCAGGATTCATAAGAATGATACGATAAAACATTGATTTCATATATAAAAATAAGTTTATAGAATAAAAGAAATAAAAGACACAACTTATCTCACAATCATTTCCATGCAAATCCCTAGAAGTTCTCTTCAAGTCTTTCTCTCTTTACAAGCACTTTAAATTCTCTCTTAGAAGTGTAATGAAGAAGAAATCTCTCACCTTCCCTCTCCTCTTACAATCCTTAAAGAAAATCTTCAAGATCTTGACTTATCTCTTTATCTCTCTATCTCTTCTTTCTTGCCCCCCCTTTACACACCACTCAAAACCTCCTTTTAGCCCTAGACTTCCCTCTCTTTTATAAAAGACTGCCTCTCTCCAAAAAAAATTCAAAATTCCCTCTAAAATTCTATTCAAAAGTCAACTTTTTTGAATTCAAAAGACATGCCCATTGATCTGAGAGACATATCCCTTCATAAAAGAATATTCCAATGTGTCTAGATGCATTGAATCACTCCAAGGGGTGTTTAGAACAAGTGTCCCTTTAAAAATTTGCCAAATTTTGTCTCAAACCGCCTTAATCTGCAAAAAACCATCCTTGGCGCATCTTGCGCCAATTTGCTGAAGACCGCGCTGTTCTGGTTTTGGCGCATCTTGTATCAATCTGACACATCTTGCGCCATGATCCCAAAACTCACTATTTTTGCTCCAAATTTTGTCTTTTTTGTTATTTTTTCCCCAAATACCTAAAATTGATCTATCTGCAACAAGAACATGAAAATTTCATTTTTTTAAAATGCAATATCACCAAAATTAAGCTTAAAATATATACTTAAAACTACATATTATTTTGGAGTATCACATCCCAAACAGCTGCATCATCAACATCAATGAAGAAGGGGATTGCATATGTCCACACGTTGATCACCATAATTTTTTCAGACCATTCTGTACAGTTTTGTTCATGAGCAAGAGAAACATCCTATTTGAAAAAGAGATAGATATTGTTAGACCCCGAGAGTTTAGAGGTTCAGTTGTAATTTCATTACCGGCTGGTTTAGTACTGATTCTAAAAGGAAATGGAGCGGACCTTGCAAAACACTGCATTTCCTGGAGTGTCGCGTTGTAGAATCTTAGTTACATTATGAAGAATGGACATTAGTAAGATATCATATGGATTCCAACGAGATCCAAAATTGGAAGAACAAGGACCGTATGAGCTATGAGATAGCTGTACCTCTAAGTATACACAAAATGACCTTTGTTTCGAAGTGTGACTTAGAAGATTAGCTTAATCACAAGCTTACCCCAAGAGACAGACACGTCTTACTTTTTATACTACATCAGACCAGAGAGTATATGCTATATTCTACTACAGCTTTTACAATTCTATTCAACATATTGTTTACATGGTTGAAGCTGCTTAATAAAGTTTTTTTTAGATTTCATCATTTGTTGTTAACTTGTCTCTTATGTGTGATTAATGAAATGCTGCATTACCACATGTTGGTACTAGATTATAACGAACATAGAACGATACAAAAAAGAATCTAATAATGAATGAAAAGTAAAATTCAAAAATAAAAGAAAATAAAAATTAAACTAAAATTGATAATCTTGATAATGACAGTAATGATAAAATGGTAAACAATTTTCCTCGAAACTCTAAACTCTTAACGACACAAATTCCACATTTTTTGCACAAATTTCACAAGTCTTCGTATTCTTGTTACAAGTTTCACATTCTGCACAATATTCCACAAATTTTTTTTCGCTCTCTTTCCACAAATTCTCCACACTCACAATGCCTCAGG